TTAGAGAGTCAAGTTGAGTCCAACCATATAGCACTCTATATAGAAAAATTGTAAATCAACCTAGTTAGAGAGAAAAAACGAAAAAAACGGTAAAACGCGTTTTTTTCGTGTTTTTTTGAATATTTAGGGTGGGTGTTGTACTGGTAACATAGAGTCAATCTCGGGGTATTCTGGCCATGGAACTTGCCAAGGACAGGTCCCCACACAGTGATATTCAGCATCTTCTATGAGTATACATGCATACAAAGTAAGACAAGCTCAATCGACGACAAGCCCAATCGCTACTTAAAAAATTCACATTTTTTGAGTGCTTTATTATTCTTGATGTAATAACAATAACGATCACTCGGTCTCGTGGAAAGACGATTCAATGGGAAAAGACCGATTGACTCGATACTGAAGCTGAAAGAAGTTTGGAACAGTAAATGACTCAGTTGCCGTCCTCATAATTCATAATTTTATCAATTTCATTCAAAATCGAACCCATAAGGAAGACATTATGAGGCTCAGATTCAGTGAGGATGTTTCCAAAGAGAACGAGAATCTCTTGAGCACAAATGAATTGATTCACCTGCGCTGAAACCCTTTCCCTCCAGGAATGGACGAAAACTCTGATCTTTCTGGGTCATAAGTCCTTCGTCTTATGGTTGTACGTCGTCTCAATCAATTTTCACCAGGAATGACATAGAAATAAAACTTGAAATGGAAAATGGATAAAAGCGGACTGGACCGGAAGGAAAAGATAAAGGTGGTGAAAAGAAAATGGCATGAGAATGAAATTCGCTGAAGAGACGGAAATGAAGCCTTCAACATCCCAAAACATGGTGGAGCATGAAAAAACATGATTCACCTGTAAAACACGAAGAGAAACTTGTTAAAAAGTGTTCGCAACCTCCACCACGTAGGTAACAAAACCTGCAGCAACGCTAACCATAAGTCGTCTACTTACCCGAGCCATAGGTACCTCCATCATTCATATGGGAGAGTTGGCAACTGACTTGATCCAACATAAAGTTAGCAACAATCGCTACTATTTTTTTTAGTGAGTTTTATTTGCGAGTATCCTTAAAGAACGGTTGTTTTTAGGGAGCCCTTAGCTATGGAAGATGACTCGGAATACGGTTATTACCCACATTACTCGGACGACTATGTTCTGAATGACAACGTTACAGATGTACTGGATGATCCAAACGATCCAATGCAGAAAATGGTAGTGCTAACAGTACAATTAATAAGTAACCAACTTCATTTTAACAAATTTTTGCAGCTATCTTGTTGGGAAAAGGGATTAATGATAGGAAAGTTGTTTGAAGTTGTTTTTTGGTTTGATTCCTCACCTGCTTGCGCGCGCCATACAATTTTCAGTAAACACCAGCAAAAATTACTCGACCAATAGACTTGAGTAAAATACAAAATGTTTCGGAAAAAAGAAAAAAACAAAAGATGACGTTTTTATTTATTTATATTTGGCCATTTATTATGCGCACAAGGGGCACCCTTGTTTGCATAATAAATAAATGAACCAATAAGTGACAGACCTAGCTTTCCTACATACCTGATGATACTTTCTGTGATCCGTTTTCAATTCCCTTTTGCAGAACACTTTCGATTCCAAAAGTCGAGCTTCGAGAGCTTTCTTTTCCTTACTGAAGACCAGCTCCTAAACGTTAATCATGAAAACCATCTGCTCTCCATGGAGGGGGAATTCCAAAAGCGACGATTCACCTAGTTCACTCGTATTCCCTGCTCCCTGACTTGTTGGCTAATCACAGTTCAAGCNTTCTGTGATCCGTTTTCAATTCCCTTTTGCAGAACACTTTCGATTCCAGAAGTCGAGCTTCGAGAGCTTTCTTTTCCTTACTGACGATCAGCTCCTAAACGTTAATCAAGAAAACCATCTCCTCTCCATGGTGGGGGAATTCCAAAAGCGACGATTTACCGAGTTCACTCGTATTCCCTGAAGCCTGACTTGTTGGCTAATCACAGTTCAAGCTCATGAACGGAAGAAAACAGTACTCAATGTCTGAAAATTGGCATCCATCTGTTTCATATCATTGCAGGTCATGGGTGGCAAAAAAGTTTCCATGGGAGAACTTCCCTGGAGCGCTCGCCTGGAAATGTCTCATGGAGGCAGAATGGGTGAAATTCTTCCTACGATTACGTTATGATTTCCGTTAGCTGTAGAAATACTTGTTTGGATCCAGTAGGAATCTACATATTCAGTGATATGCGGAGGTACACTTGTCACACGCCGACACCTTATTACGGCTGCTCATTGTTTTTGGAATAACCCAGGTACAGATGGGTGCAGGTTCGATGATTTCTAGAGCTTAGAAAATATGACGCTTGAACTTTTGATGGCTTTCTTCAGCATCAAGGATATGTTACCGATTAAATATGTAAGAAAAAATGGTATGGCCACAGTTGGTGCCATTTGTCGCGCGGAAAGCAATTCAGCCAAATGCAGTGGCGAAGAAGCCGGCACTAAACTTCGGATCAAGAAGTAAGCTACGAATCTTGTTCAAGGGGAGGAGGGGGGAGGGGGGTTGCGGGCTATTTCGAAGCTGCATTAAAAGCTTGCTTTGGGCTGAATGTGAGGATACACTTTCTTCCGTGGCACGACGGTTCCGTGGGCGACATAGTGCCTGAGCGCAGTATCACACAATTGATCGGACAGTTGCTTTCGAGATCGATACACACTTTCGCCAACCACGACTTCCAGCGGTAAGGGTTGGTGAACTGTTGCCATATTGCTTAACTTGGGTAGATAAAAGCACTACCTTCTACATGGACTGAGTCGTGAGCAACCCATTTTATTACCCTCACTTTATTTTGCTCAAATTAGGAGGATCAGAGGCGCGCAAGTATACGATTCCGAGTTGGAGCCGAATGAATGGACCCACACCACAGACAAGGGTCGAACAAAATCAAGAAAACCCCATAGAAAGGCTCTATCCATTCATTTTAAAGGGCTCAAGAAATCTTGCGAAAAAATAATGGAAAAAGGAAGACGAGTGACATGGTGATTAAATGATGCCACGAAAACTTCCTTTCTCGGAATGAGAAGGGACATTGAATGAAGTTTCTAGACAAAAGCCATTTCTCTGTCTCACTCATCGGGGTCCTCTTTCCTTATGCTCCATGGAATAGGTGGCAGATTAGAAAATGTAACAGAATGTCGAAATGCTTTAGACTCCAGTTGAATTCTCCAAGTTCCTTTTATTTTAGCGCCTTCTATGAAAGGTTCTTCAAAGAAGGATGTACTGGAAGCAGTGATTTTGCAGTCGTCGAACTGGAAAGGGATGTTCCCAAAGGAATTTATCACGCGTGCTTGCCTCACATGCACAATGTTGATGACTTGGACTTACGAACTGCGAAGCTCTTCTCATCTGGATGGGGCATCAATCGTCAGCGGAGTCTTCTCTAATTTCCTTCTAACTGTAGTCATTACTGATTCGATCCGTCTATGTTTCAGCCCTCGAAGGTTATAACGACAATCCTTCTCCAACTTTGCAGAAGATCGATCTTGGTATGTTACCCACTTTTCCAAGGTTGATGGGGGTATATTTCCTAGGGTTTCGATGAAGCACAAAACTCAAGAATGGATACAGCGCTTAATTTCAATGTAAAATTCATATTTCCACCTAAGTAAATAAGTAGAAAAAGCGGCGGTCGGCAAGTTCTTTCTTCGTCAAAAAAGTTGTCAACATAACAGTAAACAAGCGCGACTTTGAAAGTGAAAAAACCAACGACTTTTCGATGCTATGAACACATCAAGTAAACAAAAATAAAGAGGTAACTTCATGAAAAAACACTGATGTTAGAGAGATGGTGACGGCGTGCCAAAACATGATTGTTATCGGACCGCCCGTAGTGCCTTCATTGAGTTGAGGAGATCAAGTCCACTGATGATCTCGAAATGATTCACCGAAGTTTCCCAGAAAACGGCTTATCAAACCTGGGGAGGCGGTAGAAGCATGGGAACCTACGGACTATGCGCTTTTCGAGAACAGTCAGTGAATCCACAAGTCAATAAACCAGGCCCTTCAGAGGGGAGGCTTTTGAAAACGTCGAACTTCTTCAGCAGTGCTGCGTTTGCTTCAACCAAACCCATAGGGCTATGAGCCCTATGAGCCTTGTATTATGCACATGCAATTAGATAACTTGCACGGCACTGTCAGCTCGATCTTCTGATCTAGTAAGCATGGAGGTGATGTTACAGCAAGTGGCGCACCATCTCACACGCATGGTCACAGGTTTGAATCCAGTAACGATATCGGCCTAGGCAACCAAGCCCTCCATCTTTCCTTGGTGGGCTACTCGGTACCAGACTCGTCTGGCTGGCCAACGCATCATTGAATAGACCACATACGCATTCAATACGTCACTACGATTCTGAACGAAAGTCGCATGCGTGGCGCATATCTGAGATTGATTAACGTCCGGAGGCACAATTCTTTATCTTATATTAATTCATTCATATACGCTCTCCAGAATAAGCTGTACGGCAACTTTTTCTTCTGAACAGATCACTGTGAAAAACAAATTAAGGTCTCCATCCCAGCGCGGTTACTCAACCTGAACTGAAGTGATTCTTGAAGATTAGAATGTAACAACTCGTATTAGTGTTCAGATACTCATTCAAAAACCTGAAATTTCGAACAAAAAGAAAACTAGACATTGATTGCTCTCTCCAGAAGCCCCTCTCACCCAGGCTTTCCTGAGGCCTTTAAATTAAAATGTCAGGGCATAGCTTTATAAAATGTTATTTAGGGATGATGTTGACCGATGAAGAGTGCTTGACAGAGGACGTGCAAACCGTTCAAGATATTTTTTGCACAGCTGAATACTCGGAGAAAAATCTCTGCATTGTAAGTGATACTGTGGAAACCAAAGCCTGCGACCGTTTCGTCCACTGTCTGTAATGCCTGAACATCCTTATAAAAATAGAGTTGTCAAATTTTGTACACTTTGACTGCAGTAAAGAACCGGCTCAAACTGCACTTAGAAACTGTCCGAAAATGGACATATTCAGGGAGACAGTGGAAGTGGAGTTACATTTTCGCTCAACGGCAGATACTACTTGGCTGGTATTGTCTCTCGTGGATCCAATTGCCTTGGTTTGATTCAAGGAGTTAAACCAGATGGTCAGGTACTGGTAGCAACTCCAGGTGAACCTAAACTGCCAAATGCATGATCCTTTCCAGACTCATCTTAACCTCGCATACCATACCGCTGATATTGACACCTTGCTAGGCATGAGAATCGAAGATCGCAGGAAAGAATGGGGGAATACTAACTAATATTTCATTATTAAGAGAAATAAAGTTGGATAGAGTTGCGGACTTTGTCAGAGCTCATCATTTTACTGCTTCAGTTCTTTTCTGGTATTGTTCCTTCCTCCTCTCCTTACCTGTTCACAAAAACACCTCCTTTTGTCTTTGTAGGGAACCTATTCCGAAATCTGCTCTTCAGTGATGTTCAGAAAATGGTGATTGTAGAAGAAAGCTGTTCCAGCGTCAGTCAAGGGCTGTGAAAGGAAGGAAAAGCATATGTAGTTTTTTCGCAGTTGGGGAATTGGTCTGATTTGGCACTGCATCGTTAGGAAGCCAAATAACTCCATAAGTTACTGCTGACAGCAATGACTGACTTGGAGCGCCAAATGTTCACTTTTAATTAAGTCTTCAGTGTTTTGGCATTGATTAATTCCACTTTGATATGCCCCTTCACTCTCTGACTTTTACTTGGAATCGTATTAAAGTCAAGTATACGTATGGCCACCGCTTATAATATGATCCATGGCTTTTATCCTCCCAGACAGCTCTAAATCTCAACACCCGTCCCTGTTGAAAAGAAAAGGTATGTAGGGCTGGCTCGAGCAAGGGTCCAACCTTCGGGTCGTGCACGTGGTAGTGCGCCATTTGGCACTGCACTACCGTCTCCTCTTTATTACTGTTATCATTCTCGTTGATTCATTGTCTTCAGGAAGGCATTGTTGATCTTGAAGAGTACCAAGGAGAATATTTGCATGGGTAAACATACGGTTTAACATGCGTATATTCATGCGACTATAAAATGTCGCTGAGGAATGGCGTACTTGCCTTGACCCTCTTTTGCCTCACCGTTCCGCTACCTCCACTTCCACGCCACTGCCCAACAACAACCTCCTTCATGACTTTGGCGAACGAACGGTTGTCAGGGCCAAGTTTGTTCAGTGTTTAACACTCTTGCTACAACCTTCTTTAGTTTTCTCTTTCCCGAAGAGATCACTACTCTTTTTACTTGTCAGTATGCTGCCACTGTATAATTTACTGGTTTTTTTCGTCACCTTTAGATTTTCTGGCTTTACCTACACCTCAAAGGTCTCTAAGCCACGGTTTTCCTTGGGTAGTTTCTTCCTCCTGATTACATCTGCCTCTACAACGTTTTATAAAATCCTGAGGTAAACAAAAGGCTTTTTATTTAGGCCCTACACAGCCAAACTCACTTGTGCCTAGTATGAAAGGGTGAAATAAGGGCTCTTACCGTCGATTGATGTCTTTTTGGGATACGCCATAACATTCGACTTCCATTCGGAATAGCAGTGGCGTTTTGAACGTATACGTGGCCCATACATTGAATTGCAGCGGTCCTCCGTTGTTCCAGTCACTGCTACCATCTTCTAGACCGTTTGATGACGGGTGCGGACCATTTGATCAACCCAGAAGGGGTGGAAGGCTTGGTTGTTCTGGCCGGATATCGATCCGGGATCTGATATCGTAACCAACGCTGTCTGATGGAGCGCTACTTGCCACAACACCAAATACAACCAGTACCCAATACAACAGGTTAATATTTGTGTAGGAGTGGCTCCCGTGGCTCTCTTTCTTAGTGGCGATAGGGTTGAAGCTGAAGGAGATTTAAGAAGTCCCGGATGGTATGAGATTTGATGCTGACCACATTTGTGCTGCTGGAGCATGGTCACATGCGCTTGCGCAATGGCGCTGACCTTTGTGAAGAGACGGTAATTGCTTGCGCTCACCTGGCCCGTTCCACGCCGTCGTCCATTCACAATGAATTCCTCAGCAACGGTCAAAGCACTCTACGACCTTTTGTGACCTCTTCAAGCATTGCCATCATCGAAATTGCCTTCGATATGCCTGCCCTCTTCTCTCTCACATCTTTACGCACCGTGCAACATCGGGCATTTACCGTTTTTCGGGATAAACCTCTTTATACAGTTATTTCCTTTCGAAATTGTATTGCTGTCCTTCTTTCTTCCGATCCCAATGCTCGATACCTTGTACTCATTGAAGACATTTGCCTGGAGTTGTAAGCCTACAGTTTCCTTCACCAAATGAAACAACACCTTCAGCGTAGGTGTTGTTTCATTTGGTGAAGGAGAGCGTTATTCTCTGAAGTTCTTGATGATCGTGTTTTTTTAGCACATTCGACCTTAACAACTTTGTGGAATTCTTTTGAAGTTTAATTTTCACATGGTTCCATGATTACTTAATGTTGGCCCTGCTAATACGGTTCCAATCCCACCTTCCCCACTACTTTTTTCTTTCAATAGGTACCCCGTAGTTACCATTTTGATGTGGTAGCTGACCAATAACTCCCTTGTCTCTATTGCTATCTCGAACAGCCATACCCTTCCTACTGATAATGCGGTATAAGTGGTTCCGCATGATGGAAGTTCGTTGGGAGCCATTACCAATCCTTTTACAGATTGCTTTTACCCATACATATATAGTTACCCACATGCCATTCTGTATTAAATTCATCTTACCGTTCCTCTTAGGTATACATCAAGTCGATGCAGTTGTAGAAAGGTTGAATCTATCGATATGACTGAGGGTAAGAGGATAGTGCGCCCCGCATTCGGCTTCTCGTCAGAATCGCAGGGGCGTTTGAATGCGTATGTGGCTCATTCAATGACTGGTGGAGTACAAGTCAGTGCTTTCATCCCCTCATACGATTCAGGTACCAATCAACAAGCGCCGGTGTGGTCCTGGAGATTAATCGGGGAATTCGACAACCTGAACCTGCGCGGCCATTGACTAGCACCTTTGCCCCAACTTGATACGAACATAAATCAAACATGTAGCCAGCTGGTGTTCGATGTCCGCTTCGGTCGTCTTTTAGTGGTTTTTCTGGCTTATGTTAGAGGATATAATAAGGAGAGTGAGGTGGTCCTCTTGAACGGAGGACTAGTTTCCACGATCGGAGTGATGTCTGTCTGTCATACACCGTGAGAGAACTGTCACACATAACTAAGAAAATCGCCGCCGACAGGAGTATCACAACATGTGTGGTTACAGTGCCCGGAATACCCACTTCGTTTTCTTCGGGAACCATAATACTGTTTACAAGTGGTTATCTCTTTGTTTCCTTCCATTCCTCATTTAAAGATTGCTATGGAGCTGACTATTTCACGTGGATTATCTGTTTGTCCGTATGATTAATGTCGATTTGCCTTTTGGTCAAGAATGAGCTGAATTCTACAACACGCTACCCTCCATTACCCGTTTACTTCCTAAACTAGGCGGCGTTTGGGAAAGGACTTAAGGCGGAGGGGGTTACCATGCACAAAGTCCTGGCAAAGAGAAAAACCTTAAAGTGAGCCCCGCCTGTTCCTTGTCTAAA